GAACAGTGTTCTGACCAGGATTGTCTTTCAGGGGGTCAAAGGGCCCATCAGTTCCAAATTTATAGGGGCTCATTCAGTAGGTTGAGAAGGCATACTTACAAGGTCAGTTAGTGCCAGATCTCTTCAGCAAGTGGAATCCAATATGGCAGCCATGTTCGAGTTTATGTCATTTTTTTGTGTCTTTTGTGTGCACTTTCACCATGTTTATTGACAATAAAATTAGACTTTTATTGACTTTAAAAAGTACTCACTGTATGTCTTTGCAATCAATCAGTAAGTATTTCTCGATAATTCTTGCGCCATAAAAGGTGCATTAAGTTTAAATTTATGAGCATTATGGCACGGCCTGGTCAGAACACTGATTGAAGGCACATATTATAGTGTTAATTATCATTGGTGGTTTGTACATGTATTTAGATGTTCAATGACAARGCAACAGAAAGAAAAATTCTGTCATTCAAGATCAAGTGTGTAAACCAAGGCTGTGAATGGCAGGGAGAACTACGGAATTTAATGGTAAGCAAACCCCTCAGTATTGTGTTGTAAATTGTAAGTTTGTTTCTCTTATGCTCTTTATCTTTTGGATTGTTTGAGATGAATACACAGGGATCCCAGCCATGCACTCACAGGGTTTGTACAGTCTTGAAAAGTCCTTGATTTTGGAGCTACAATTGTAGGTCCTTGAAAAGTCCTTAAATGCAAATTTTGCTTGAAAAGTCCTTGAATTTGGAGGAAAGGTCCTTGAAAATGATAATTTAGTCCTTGAATCAGTCTTGGTTGTTGTGAAGTAATGTTTTAGATATCAATTTTGCCAAGCTTTGAAGCAAATTGATAACATTTCAATCCTTTTGGCAATGTCTGTTGTACTATTGTGCAGTATGGCGGCAAAGAAATTAATAGAGATTGAGAAAAATATGTTCCAAGAGATAAAGTTTTTAAACAAAGTTGACTACAATGTTTTTATTGTTCTGTTTGGTAAGACAGCAGGACTAGTAAGTTTATTAACTGTATCTTTCTCTTTGTAATTGGTGTCCTTAAAAATTGAAAATTAATCCTTGAAAAGTCCTTGAATTTTATATGTAAAAATCTGTAATAACCCTGTCTTTATCTTTTGGATTGTTTGAGATGAATACACAGGGATCCCAGCATGCACTCAATAATTTAACTTTTGCATCTCATTGATTGGATTGGCTGGTTGTGTTGTTGAGACCTAATGTTAATTATTATAGTTGGGCAACTGCTTTTGGGTGATCAATTAACACAAGTGCCATGCTCAAATATGAACTTTTATTATATACTTATCAATGAGATTCCAGGTTTTAACTCTAGTTGTGAAAATGCAATATCTTGAACCATGAAAAGATATCATATCTTTCACATGCAAAGATACATGTATCACTGTTTGCATGGTGACACATTTTTTTCGGCTATATAGATCAATATTTATATAAAGATCGCTACACTCACTTGTGAGACATCGATTGAACACTCAAAGATTAAATCAGTGTTTTCACTCGCCCATGTAATATCCTCTCTATATTAAATAATTCTAAAGATAATTCTCTTTTCCAGCTACTTTTAGGTTTATTTGCTATTTTAAAACAATTAGACCTCGAAGTCGAGTGGACTACGAGCTAATAGCCCATGAGGCAGAGTCTGCGAGGCCGAATGGGCTATTAGCTCGTAGTCCACGAGGCCGTGTACTAATAATAATCGGTCAAATAATGAAAACAAATTGAAAAATCCTTAAAATAATTTACAATTTACAATTTATTTATTTTGATTTTCCCCGCGAGTGGTCTATCACAAATTAGACCATTAGTAGAGTATCCAATCACAGCGCAGTATGAGTGATAGACCATTAGTATGTTTATACTAAATACATGTAGCAGAAATACACAATGATTGCACCCATTATGCAGCATTGTGCTATAAAATGACAATGTTTTTTTCCCTCAATTTTGTAAATAAATAAAATGTAATTTGATTTTAYTTTTATATCTAAGGCCCATAAGAAGGAATGTCAAATGGCTGTTGTTTCTTGCACATATCAAACCTTCGGCTGCAMTTTTAAGGTATTTTTGTTTGTTGGTCTATCGTAATTCATATATGCATCTTGTACATTGCATATCTGTAGTGTAATTGTAAATCCTTTAATTAGGAGGTACTGACTACAAGGCAACACCATAAGTCATATCTTTAAAACAGAGTTTACATCGTTTCTGTGTCAACCGAAACCATAGCATATTCCAGACTAAAACTGACCAAAGCCTACCTCTATTCAGACTAAGACAACCAAATTGTAACCCTATCCAAGATAAAAGCCATACCCTATCCCAGACCAAAAGACCAAAAAGCCATATCCTATATACCACGGTTAATGATTAGTGTGTATAATACTCCATTATAGTTCTGAGTGCCATATTGAAAGATAGATACCTTTTGTTCACACCTAAGACAATTATTCACAAGAATCTATCATTGCAAGCTCAGCRTCTGTCTYGCYTTGATGCGAAGGATTGACTACCTTTCAYGATGGCGACTGGAACTGTAAAATGGAGTATTTGATTTGTTTGTCTGCATGCTTTCTTATTATAGGGTGAAAGGAAGACAWTAAGTGARCACATTATCACCAAACACCTTGCATTCACCACTGGTAAGCTAATGGAGCTTCAGACKGAGAATGCAACCCTAAAGAGAAAATTTGCTGAACTAGAATCCCAAAATGAAGTCCTCAAGGTACGAATTATAGAAGCAAATTCTTTACTGTGGACAAAACAAGACAAAAATCATGTCAAATATGTCTGGAAAATCAAAGATTTCAATATAAAGCTTCAGAAYGCAAAGGAGAAAAACATGAACACTTTTCTTTCAAGTGGGCCTTTCTACACAGACAAGTATGGTTATAAGATGAGACTGAAACTGTACCCAAATGGTGAYGGTTTAGGCAAAGGCTCTCATGTATCGCTTTTCTTGATTGTGATGCGAGGRGACTATGATGGGATTCTTTCCTGGCCATTTAACTACAAWGTCAAACTTACCCTTGTTGATCAGAAGCCAGASAAGTCAAAGCGAAACAACATCAAGTGGAGTTTTWGTCCAGATGACAGCACTGTKGATGAATCTTTTRTAAGGCCAACAACTGGTGAAAACACTGGCTATGGATTCATGACATTTGTTTCACATGAAGCCTTGTTCACTGAGAACTACCTTAATATTGTTGATGGGTCAATATTCATACAACTTGATATAAAAACATGTTAGTTTTTTACTATTACTTAGGCTTACTCTAAGTCTTATACCGTGGGGTACTGGGAACAATCTGCTAAGTGGCATGATGAGAATATCACATCAAAACGTTTGTCACTAATCAGGTTAAAAAATACTTGTTTACAAATAGTATTTTTAAAATTCCAGAATTCAAAAGAAATCTTATATATTGTTTTTGTAAATTTGAGCATTCTGTAAAAGCTATGTTAGTATTTTTTACAAAATTTGTGTCTATGTAGCATGGTAGGCTTTGTACAGGTCCAGGAAAACCTGAACACTTGTGAAGTTTCATTTTTTGGTTTTCCAGGCCTCAGGAAAGTAATGGAAAGTAATGGAAAGTAATCACCATTGTGCTATATTTATAAGGGACTTGTACCAAGTCTCCACTATATAAAAGTAAGCAATACAAAGATATGAAATATGTTTATTATGAAATTTAATTATGAATTTATTTTGATTGATTTTATTGAAGAGCAAATTTTTGTTTAAAGATTATTTATTTTATTATGATGATCATTGTTGTAATTATCACTTCTTTGTGATTTCTAAAAAAAATGCCAGAGTGTATTTCATCAAATAAAAATGCCTCTCCATTCATTTGGTTGTGATTATTAAAAGTAAAATACGTACAGTATATGGCCGCTACTATGATAACAAGGAGTGACTTTGGGATATCTCATCATCAGGGTTGAGCTCTAAGGCCTTGGAGTATGAAACACGTTTGTCATCCACCATAATGACAACAGTTTATCATCTCAGCCCCTGATGAGTAATGTTATACCATGTCTACCATGACACCAGGATAAATCCATTTGTATTTAATATACATGTATATTTCTTACACAAAATCACCACTCCACAACAGCACCTCCCTTAACAATAGAGTCCGATTACTCAAATACTTCTAAACCTTTCTAGCTTGTGTATACATTYGGTTTATTTTACGAGAAAACGCTGGATGAACTCAGGCTAGTCACTTTCTATAGCTTAATAGAAATTTACAGAACAGAGCGCAACAGAATACAGAGCAGAATTCAATAGATTTTAATGATATTCATAAGTTATTGGGTATTGGCCTTTACCTAAATGAGCAGGAGACTGGGCACTAGTTATCTAAATTAACCTAATTTAAAGAATAATCATATCATTGGAAATGAATTCCAATGATATGATTAATTTTTTAATTAGGTTAATTTAGATAACTAGTGCCCAGTCTCCTCGGTTAGGTAGAGGCCAATTCTAAAGTTTAAGGAACAATAAATCAAGTAATATCTGAGTGAATGGTGTGAATCCAGGCGCAGGTAGCCCAAGCACTAGGCTTGACAGTGAAAAACGAAAAGTTCGATAAAAGTGGTAAAACTGAATAAAATTATTTCAAACTACAACATAGTGTTTTTCTTATTTTTCTCAACACCCCTGTGAAGTTTCAGCTCAATATGATAAACTTTCCCCTACTTATATATATTAACAATACTATCTAGTCATATTTGACAAACAATTACATTACAGATACAGAAATCATATGCATGCTTGATGAAATGAACTATCCTAAAGTATTTCTTAAATCAATTGAATAACAATTATCTGGCCCGTGACCAACAGGCACACCGAAAAACCGTGTTAGAGAAGAAGAAAAAGGTGGAAGAAAAAAGTGCCACAATTACCATACAAGAAATGAAAAATGATTCATCCAATGGAAAGGCCACCTCACACCAACGCATCCTACACTTCACTGCAAAGTATGGTGTCGATGCACTGTCGAAAAACTACACAACGGCAGTTCTTCGACAGCTGTGCTTTACGTATTGGGTGAAGCACAACTCCACAAGCAGAAAGTCGAAATTAGCTKCCGACCTATTCAATAAGATGAGAGAGTTGGAAAGAATCCCCTACCCCTTTTATCTTCATGACTTGCGAGCTGTCCCTGCAGCAGATGAGAGCACAGGAATTAGAATAAGAATTTTACTTACGTAGCATGTAAGTATGTATCCTAGCATTTAAGACATTTAACACACGAACCTGTGSAAAACGTTGATTAACTTGAGAGTGACTGAATAATATTCCAGTAAAAAAAYTGAATTTTTACTAAATTGTGACAATTAGAAAAAAGGAAAACAAATTCACCACGATTTAGCTATATTTTTATACTTCACACTATGAAGTTCAGACAGTGCAGACGTCAACGACCSCCATGTCTAGCTCATCAAGTTAAAGTAGTCATAAGTTAATCTACTTTAGGATGTGCTAATCCGTACAAATCACATATATATAAAATATGAACTTCGTGGTTCTTTTATTTTGCAGTAATGGGAAAATATGTCTGAAGCTGAATCGCACGAAAATACTGATTCAGGTATGTGTTTTTGATCAGAATCAATAGTTTATTATTAATTTAGGAAAATTTGAGTATGTTTTATTTTTAGTATTTTGACTTTGCGTCACATCCGGACTTTTTTACTACGAAGGAAAAGTGGGATGTAACGCAGGCCAGCGTTTCTTGATCTCTTCAATTTAGTCCTTTTTCAATCTGCCCTCTTTTACGTCAAGAGACCAAGATAGAATTTGAGGAAAGGGGGAGGGAGGAATTGGCCAAATGAGTAGTGTGAACTTTGACGTTTCTTGTTCTTGTTCAGATTCAGCTTCTTGTTGTTATTCTTTTGTTATATGTGCTTGTTCTTGTCATAAAGTCATTCTTGATGTTATTGGCATTCTACAAATATTGCTGTTTGCTCTTCTTTTCTTTTTTTCTTTTTGAAGAGTTTCTTCCTCGTCTTGTTTTTGTCTTTCTTCTTCTTTGTCCGATGTTGAACAGTTTTCCTTTTATTCCCTTATCTCTGATCTCTCTTCTCCTCTCCTCTCGGTCTTGTTTTTTCCCTTTCTGCTTCAAACATTCATKWCACGCCTTCCTTCTCTCTGTCTCTCTTCCCATGTGCTCCTGGACCATATAGTTATGCTCGTCGACGTTTCACTATGTATAAAAGTGGTCAAAGTACCGAGAGTGTTTTGTGTAAAGAACCGGTAACTGAAGACCATAATATGAGCAAGCAATTATTACTTGGAGCAATTTCCTGTGGCTCGTCGATGTTCGTGAATCAAGACAATAATCCTCGTCTGGATTTGGTTAGATTACAACTTATAATAGGGTGTTTGTTTGTGMTAATCACGCATTTAATACAAGATAAGAACATTGGGGTCTCGAGAGTGTGACGAAGAAGAACACGGCATCTCTGATTACCACGATTAGGAAGACGTGATCTTGCATTCCTCATAATAGAACAGATTCAAGTCTGATAGTTAGTGCTGAGTCAATCATAACGGCGTTTCTCACTTACTGAGGAAAGACATCTCCTATAAACACTCAAAATAGAAAKCATTGACGTTACATGAGGGCTTCATCGTCACAGTACCGCTTTCCTAAAGGAAGAGGGAAGTTATCTGCTTTCGTCAGTGCTTGCCGGAATTCAATGATTTGAACATTTCAGAAGAAGCTTTATCTCTCTAGTTTGTGTGTTTCAATGACGCCAAACGAGCTCGCTGAATACGTGGTCCTCAGCTTCGTCCTATTTCTTTTGCTGCTTCTCTTGATTCTTGTTGGTTACGTGTGCAAAAAGCTTTGGCCAAAGAAAACCGATTTCTATGATCGAACTCAATATGAGAAACACACAAGAAGTGACATGGCGGTCGTGACTTTGGATACAAACAGTTCGGTAGAGATTCTTGAATCAAATCATCACCAGTTTCGAGTGAATGGTGATGTAAATGGAAACGCAAAGAAAGAGGAAAAACTGGACGATTTCTTGGTACGGACAAGTGATGTGTAACATTGACTGGAATTCCATGAGTGAAGCTAATGCCAGTGTTCAGCGCTGGCACTGAAAATGGGAATTTATACGTCAAAGGGAAACAATTGTTGTACRCCGGACAAATAATGTCGGAATCAGYACAAAGTGATATTGAAATTGATAGCAAGAAAMTTGTAACTRKCGAMGTCGTTGGATTTTAATGCCAATTTATTGTTTCAATTCGACTGTTATTGCATTCGATGTTATCCTAATCTACAGAAAAAGTCGATATATGATTTATACAGTCGAAGTCATGTAAATAGTATCAAGAARAGTTGCGTTGGGGATATGGCGAATGCGCAACCAAAGTTAACATTAGAAATATTCATGTCAATATTTACAYCYAATTGAAAAACGTTGTCGGGTCRCGAGAAGGTAAYGCCATCCAAGATAAGACCAGAAWGGATTTTGGGTGCTCTGGMCTCAAGTCGTATTTGCATACGATTTATATCATAGYATTACTAATCAAAGATGACTTCTTTAATGTTTTTGAACGGAGGCACACCATTACGCATATCAAAATCATCAATTATTTGGGTTCCCATGCTCCTTTTCGGTCTCCGTCTTGATGATATAACCTTTTTTGAACATCGGCTGCATAGATCAAAGGTGCTTTATTTTCATTCATTTTTATGCGTGAGTTTCATCTTTTTAACCCTAAATACTAAATAGTAACGTTCGGCCGTTAGCTGATATAGATAGAGCTAAGCCATAGTGGATATTTGCTTTTTGATGATTGATATCCACTTATTTTCGCGAAAACACGGATAAACCAATTGTAAACAAACCATAATTTAAGTGATTTGTTTAATCGAAACAACAATATTGAGGCCTTAAAAATGAGCGAGTATTACTTTCAATAATCATCACTACCCATAGTACCTTTTGGTCGCGCATTCGCCGTTCTTCCTGAACCTTTTAAAATAGCTGTATAGTTTCTATCCTTTCATGTCAARTATCAAATTACACGAACCACAAACATACCAATGTTCAATTAAATTCTTCTGTATTTGCATCTGTGCGACAATCTATTCTGGGCTATTGACCGAGTGGTTTCCGGTACATGTGCATGCTGCGTMCAAAAGGTCGTTAAGTGCACTTGAGGATCCACGTAAGAAGCTGTARGAAAACAACTGGCAGCTATCTCTGGATAATGTGGGGATTTTCCATAGGGGCTCCCGCTTCTAGGATTTTGCATAGGGCGAGATCCTTTTATATACAACAAAAAAGTCAACACCTTTTTATCCCTGGGGGAAATCCGTGGTAAAAGTAMCGGGGGTGCCCGTCGGATCTCTTAGGAGTAAAAATTCGTGAATGGAAATCGTTTAGGGTGCCAATTTAGAGTTTCTGGATATTTGCTTTTTCTGTAATCCCTTAGGGTGTCGGAAAAAAGAAGAGCGCATATATAGTTCCAATGATAAAAACCCAGAGGAAAACCTAATTTAATTTAAAAATATTTGTTGTGCAATCTCTTTGTTAAAATCAGTCTGCCACGCTCTTTTTCCAAAACTTCCAGGATCTTTWAGGGGGATTTTTGAAAATTTGTGACGAGTATCCCCGGTACTGCTACCCAGAATCCCCCCTTCCCTGGTCGTTTTACATTTTTGTTTTACTGCAGGATTCATTTGCGCAGCCCATCTCACCTCCCATTGGATATTACCTGATCTCATCTCGCAATACAGAGTCACCCTTATATTACTCGATGTTTTCTTAAATTTAGGTTAGGGATTACTGGTTGCGCTC